TTGTTCGTTGTTTAAGAGTTGAACAAAAAAAAAAAAAAAAAGAAGAAGAAGAAGAAGGCTTGCGCGCTGAGACTTTCGACTCGAAGGAGGGAAGGAATCCACGCGTCGGTACGCGTCCTGACGATGGATCGCCACATTGCATAAACGATCGCAACGATCGGCCGAGAGAGAGCCGATTCTCTTCATTGCCGATAATTCAGTTTTTTTTCTTTCCTCTTTCACACACGCGAGCGACGATGCGCCCGCTCCACGATTTTTCACTCCCCCTTCCGGTTAGCGAGTTAGCCGAGCAGCGTTCGTTCGTTTTATTTATCGTTTAATTTAAATGGTTTTTATTATTATTATTATTATTATTATTATTATTATTATTATCAACCACGATCGAGTGATGAGAAGGGACGTCAGCCGGGACTTCTCCCCCGATGAGGTTCGAAGCCACGTTTCTAGGCGTAAACGATCATCCTGTCGTTATTTATTTGGCAGTGACCGAACCAATGCTCAAAAAAAAAAAACAAAAAAAAAACAAAAAAAAAAGACAAAAACACACAGAAAAAAAGAGAGGGGAAAAAAAGGAAAAAAAAAAGAACGATGCTGTTGGTTTGAAAGTGAATAAAAACGAAGCTGAGAAACCAAGGTTTTCTTTACCCGTCTCTGTACCTATATAGGCCTGTAAACAACGTCGTGTATGTGCAGTGGAGTATAAAGGGAATAATAAAGAGTACACACTTTTTATATGCACGGCTTTTAACTCTTCTCACTATTTTTCACCGATTCTTCGATCGCTTCGAGAGTGCCGGGTGGCGGTGAAAATTTGGCAAATTCAACAGCGATTTAATTCTCACTCGATGTTTGGTTATCGTGAGAAATAGTGTGTGTTGCGTTGAGCAGAACGATATTAATGCAATGCGAGAATCGAATTGACATTGTTTGTTTCGTCCCTCACGAAGTATCGTGGGTTTTATCACTTGGTTCGAAGAGCCTTTACACGAGGTTATTCCCTTTTTTCAAGATATTATATACGTATTATATACGTTCTAGCTTAATTATTAAGTATAATTTCTACGTAGAAGTAAGCAGAATAATTATACACTCGATGGTATCTCTCAGCTCCTCTCAACTCCATTTTTCTTGATTTACTTGATTTCAAGCAGAGAAGTTGGAAGCAGGGATCGAAATCAACGGGTTCTTTTCGTTTTCAAAAAAAAAAAAAGAAAAAGAAATTCTGATCGAGCTTGTACATTTCGTCTGAAGAAATATCTGTTTTCGTGGAACAGATATTTTAGTATCTGTGTAATAAAAGTACCATGCGAAAGAGTAATTGCGTTTTTTTCTCTAACAAGTCTTTTTTCAGACATATTTGTACGTCTTAAAATGTAACCAACTGTTTCTGTTAAATCTGTTAAATATTCATCGTGCAATCCGATACCTGATTCTTCAGTCCAAGTTTATCTCAGAAGAAGTAAATGCACGATTTCGTTAACGATTGTCGATTTCAAAATGGACAAATCAAACATTCTCGTCGTATTTCGTTATGCTATTTTCGAAAGGGGAAAAGTAATGTTGCGCAAGTTTATATAAAATTATCCGACGTCTATGACGAAGAAGCCATCAAACTACGACAGTGTCAGGGTCGGTTTGCTAAATCTCACTGTTGATGAGTATATCGAATCGTTCTTGGCACTCGTCATTCGCCGCGGGATCACAAAGTTGCCTGAAAGATTGCAAAAAGATAACTGAACGATATATCCTCTGATGAAGCTTTCGTGTCTCGTGGAAAAATCTCGCCTTTTATTTGCACGCAGATGAAAGAAAAAAAAAAAAAAAACGCAGTTACTTTTTGGCTAAGCTAACATTTCAAAACATTTGATTAATAACAAATATTTGAGCACCATTCATTGAATAATATTCAGTATTTGTTACAAACATTGAGAACAAATTATCTTCGTTCCTATATATATATATATATATCGTAAGTTTTATTCTGTCTGAAATTTTGTTTCTGAGACTAGTAATGTGAGCACATTCCGAATTCCAAACAGAGCCTACTTTTCGATCCCTGGTCAGAGAAGTTTCCACTCGTAGTAGCGCATGGCATTTGAATTTTCGATCCGATGGAAACGTGTCTCGCCAGTCGACCGCGTTCAAGTCGATGAGACACGATCGAGAGCGACGAGCTTCAGATATTCACGCGCAGAACATATCGAACGTAATCGGGAAAATGCGGAAATCCAGCGAGGCTGGATAGTTCGAGTCGGTGGGAGCCTGCGTTGCGACTGCGGTGGGTGGTGGGAGACCACACGAGTCGAGTCTGATAGAATAGAATCGTCAGGCGTACAACCAGATCAACTCGAAAGATCATCAAAGCGTAGATGAGACATGGGCGATATTCTGCGAAACTGGCTGCAAGCTAGGCTAGGCATCCTGATCGACTTGACGCCGGATGTGTTCGGCCACTACACCAGAGATGGTTCGTTGCTCGCGCAGATCCTCCACAACTACGACGTGATCAACCGCGACCAGCTAGAGACGATCGTCGCCACGCAGGACCCGGCCCTCTGTCGAGTGAACCTGAAGCACCTGAGGATCTGGCTGAGGTTCGTGGGCATCGACTTCGACGACGAGAGCATCGACGAGATCTCCTGCGGCAAGGGCACCACCTCGTTGCGCCTCTTCTACAAGCTGTACCTCTGCCTGGAGACCAAGGACAGACTGCACTTCGTCACGCTGCAGAAGGAGAGGCAGAGGTTGCTGCCCGGGTCGAAGAAGTTCGAGGTGACGAGAGTCTGCGAGGATCCTCCGCCGTACCAGCCCCCGGAGCATCCTTTGTCGGCGAAGCTCGCCAAGGGCAGGGACGTTGTCGACTGCCATCGTGCCAAACTATCGCCGGCGATACTTATGAAGTTTCGTCCAGGGCGAGAGAGACTCGAGGCTCGCCACGTGGAGCAGCAACCCGTCGTCGTCGTTGATCGCTGTGTACCCGAGGTATAATCATTCGAGTAAGTACTCTTGGTAGAGAGGAGTTACGGCCGAGTTGCACAGGATGATTAGAACTGGAGGAATTCTGGAGTTTTGGCAGAGGGTTTCCCAGTTGTGATTCGACAACGCTGCTTCTCGTGTCTGAAACTGACGAAGGTGTTGATGTTACTTGATGAGTTAGTAGATGTTGTAGTAGCGAGGGATAGCGAGTTACAGTGGTTTTAAGAAAGTAGATTAGAATTGTATAGATTGTACAGAATACAAAGTAGATTAGGTTACATTAGAATTATATTATATTAGAGTAAGAGTGAAGTAGTCTAGAGTAGTTGGAACTTTAGAATAAACTGTAGAATCCCGCAGAATGCTGCAGTATGTTGTTCTCTGATTTCGGTGCGACTCGTAATTTCTAGAAATTAGTACTAGCAGACAACTGCAGCGAAAATAGAGATTTCTAAGTACGATGTGTTAGTTGGAAGATCTGCGGAATAAAAAGTCTACTTGTTCGTTACTTTCTCATTTTTCTTAAATTTAGGAATCATGTCCTCTATCTATGCTTTAAAATGATGTGAAACATATAATATAATTATATGTTTATAATATAGTTAGACACGTACAATTAACAAAAGTTATCCCATTAATTGATCGAAATTTGATCGAGAAAAAATTTCTCCAACGCGTGTATGTCGCGATCTATTGACGAAAATTTTCGAATCTTTCTACGAGTATTTTACGGATAAAAAAAAATATGGAGAAAAAGCTGAGAGTTTCATTACGAAGCTACAGTCGCAAAAGTTTACTCAATCCTTTTAATTAGCTATTTTTACAAATAAAAATTAATTAATTTATGGGCATTTAGATGCTGGCGCCGCGTAACGATGAAACGGTGGAACTAAAATCTATCACTGTCCTTGTTTGACACTGTCGCGCTCCTTGTCTACGAACACTGCTGCCATCTATCGGATTTTTCCAGTTTTCCTTTTAGTTCCAGTCGAAATTTAGAGTCACTTAGGTGTCAGCACAGTCGATAGACAAGGAGCGATTATTTAATTCCCTCGTTTCGCCGCAGGATGGCGCTAGTCTTCAAAAATGACTAAATTTTTATCAAAAATAAAAAACTAATTTGCGAACTTTTGCAATTGCGCCTCTGTTTCTAAATTGCTGAGCTTTCTTTCCATATGCCATTCGACTTTATTATTAGGAAGTGTTAATAAATAAAAATTTGTTATTTCTACTCATTGATCCAGACGAGAAGCACAGTAATTTCCAGTGCGAGACAAGGACAGCGATAAATTTTAGTTCCACCAGTTCACCGCTACGCAGCGCTACACCTCAGTGCCCTTAAATCGATTAAATTTTCACTTGCACAAATAGCTAATTAAGGGGATTGATTTGCAAGCTTTTGCGACCTGGTTCTCGTTTTAAAATTCTGTGCTTCGTTTCCACATTCAATTTCACTCGTGAAAAACGCGTAGAACAGAAGTTCACAAATTTTGTTCGATAGATCGAGAGACTGGCGCGAAAGATATTTCGTTTAAAACAAAATTTCAGGCAAATTGAGTCGGATATTTGAATTGAAATCGCTCGTTGAAAGGGTGTGGAATAGGTTTCACCTAGTTTTTGGTGACACGTCACATTATTTATGTAATAAATTCACGCGCGATTTTCATTACTTTGAATTGATTTATAAACTGTTTTACATGTAACGTACAGTTACATAGAGCTCCGAAAAGAATTACATAGAATTACGGCGTGATACACACACACACACACACACACACACACACACACACATATATATATACACGCATTTGTGAATTTTATAAATATATATACAATACACTTTTGTAATTCTTAGTAATTCTTTATATAGTGCAATACTAATCGCATCATTGAATACTTAAACGCATCATAATTATCTTTACAGTTTGCATAAAACAATTTTTTTCTCTTTCGGAAATATAACGTAACAAAAGGATCAAACTATCTGGAGGTATACGAGAGATGCTAGATGAAATTGTAAAATTAAATCTAAACGAACGACGAGAGTGAAAAAGATCCCAAGCTCGAGATATATCGATCAGAATACCTTTTAACATATAAATTCGTAGAACGTCCTCTTCACCAAGAGTACCTTTCGTACCTAGGTAAATACATAAAAACGCATGAGTTATTTCCTCTGTCTACGTTTAGAGTGCAGAAACGTTGCTGAGGATGAAACAAGAACAGAGCGAGGAGCTGGATCGGTTTGCTCGTCGACACGTCGTACGACGGAGGAGGCCGAAGAAAGATGAGCAGGAGGATGAAAGCGCCGAGATCGAAGAAAAGGTGGAACGGGAGAGGAGAGGGAAACGATGCGACAGGGAGAAAGAGGACGCGAGCAGCGAGGAACTGAAAGTGAAAGCGATGAGGAATGACCCGGAGATGGCCAGGTTGTACGTCGAGTGGTTGAAGAATCGGAGAGAACGCGCGACGACCGCCGCCGCTCTGAAATCCAACATGCAGAAGGCTTTGCTCGCCGAGCTGTGGGAACGAATGGCGGCGAGACAAGATAGAACGTTCGACGAGGCGATCGCGAGTCGCGTGCTCGACCAGTCGAGGTACGAGAAGCAGATCGTGACGAAGCTGTGCGAGGTGCGCGAGCAGAAGAACGTGATGGCGGAGAACCAGAAGGTCATGGAGGACATCACGTTAGAAGCGAAGGAGCTGGAGCACAGGGCGAACTACGAGCGTGCTCAGGACTTGAGAAGCAAACGGCAGAAGGAGATCGAGACCGAGTGCGCGAGGGTGTGCGAGCTGCGGCGGAGACTTCGCCTGGCGAAGATACGAAAGATACGCGAGAAACACTGGACACTCTGCAGAGAGGTGGTCGAGGACCTGGCGACCATCGCGTTGAACGTTGCTGATCATCGACGAGTGAACGACGGCCACGTTCCGTTGATGCTCCTCAGCGAGTGGAAGACGTTGTTTCTCAAGTCTCGGCCGATCTTCGACGAGGAGATACCTTACGACGCACGACAGCAGCGAGAAGAGTTGGATCTGTTGCTGAAATCGGACGTGTGGATGAAGATCGGCAAGATCGACGTGCTGCGGGACGTTCTGTTCGACGATTATTTGGAAACGAAGCCACCCTGGGACGAGTCGTTGCCGGAGATCGGCGAGGAATTGCGGGAGATCGCGAGGCTGGGTCGCCTGGTGCTCGGGCACGTCGCGCATCGCCTTCTCGACGGGCTGTATGCCAAACCTTTGGACCGGTCTCAGATTCTACTGTCGAGATTCAAGAACCTGGCGATTGTTCTAGGGATTGAGAAGACCTCGGTTTACGAGCTGCTTCGAGCCGTGCTCGATCGGTCCGGTATTCGAACGGTGAGAATGGAAGACGCGATCAATCACTGTCTCGACCGGTATGTTGAAAATTTTCTGACGGATGGGTCCGAAGTACGCGCGGCAGAACCTCCGATTCAGTGAATGAAAGAACTTGCTTCAACGAATTTATTCATTATTCATTCGTTGCTAAATGTATATAGCCTACGCGTTATATACCAAATGATAGTGAACAGTCGTGAGTGTCGAGGATCCATCCGAAATTATCGCAACGAATAGTCTCAACCGTTATCGAAAATACTCGATCGTTAGATACAAGCAAGAAATGTCCGACGTTCGATACATCGACTCGAATATAATCGCTGCAACGACGGATGTTGTTCGAGAATTGGAGAACGAGAAGAAACGAATCTCATGCGCGAGGTTCGCCAGACTGGTTAAACACTCTGACGAGGAGTCAACCTCCGTGTCGGAGGAGACGACGGGCAGGAGAAGTAAGGTTAAGAAGAAGTCGATCGTTCCAACCAAGACCGGGGAGGAACAGGGAGAGTCGAACATTCGCGACAAACAGACGCAAACTCCGAGGAACATACCGTACGACGATTTGGATCCTGTGTTGACCGACACTGCGTGTATTGGTAGGTTTTTCTCTTTATCAGAGGTTGTATACTCGGATGAGAGATTAGAATGAGCGATTAAATGATCGTTAGTGACGTATAATTGGGAATAACAATGCTGTATGTAAATTTATGATGTATGATGTGGGTGGAAAGAAAAGTCTGTCCGTGGCTATCATAGATGAATACACTTTTGATGGAAAGAAGAAATTCAAGGTTAAAAATATTCTTTTTTTTTAAATTGTTTTTTATTCATCACGAAGGTAAAACTTTTCCAAGAAACCATAAGTCACAACCTAATAGTTCTCTTGAAAGATGGCAAGAAAGTTTCTTAATCATTTGCACACTGCAGACGTGTGAGTTCTAACAGCGACTTTATGATTCTGAACGCGTGGATGTGATGTTTATATTTAGAATAACGTTAACAATTAGTTTTATCATTTGATTATTTAGATTATAACTATGACAAATCAAATGTTAGTGAAATCTAATCCAGAACTATAAAGTCGCTGTTAGCATGCACGCGTCAGCAGTGTTAAACGATTAAGAAACCATTTTGCCATTTTTCAAAAGAACTACTGGTTTCTTGGAAAAGTTTTATCTTCGTGATGAGTATATGAGAATACAATGCAAAAAAAAGAAAAAAACAAATCTGACTTGAAGTTAAAAAATTTGAACCGACATAAGTTCGTAAAAGAAGATGAAATAGTCTCATATTGACAATACTTCATTGTCATTGATACAATTATAGTCTTTACTGTATGTCGTTTCTAAAAGACTTCTAAGAAACTAGTTTTTTTAGATTGACGTTTGAAAGAGATTCAATTCTCGCGTACACGCAGGTAAATGGGCCTACGAATTCCTAACGTTGGGTGAGCCAATCACAGATGATCTTGCGACTAAAATTTTGATCGAGTACTTGAAGAGCCTGATGAACGCGAAAGGTTGGGTTTTAATCGATTATCCGAACACTTACGAGCAAATGTCGCGGCTGGAGACAGCACTGACAAGCTCTACTCCACCACCCGAGTCAAAGGAGCGCGAGTTGGATGACATTACCATGGAGGATATCGAAACTTTGACACCGAGAATCGTGTTCGAGGACAAGTCCGATCCATTCGCGTTAAACAGGTACTTAATTACATTAATTAGTCATAAATTAAAACTCTCACAGAGAGATCACAGGAAATTCGTCAACGGTGCGAGGATTTTTTGGTTTTTCATGCAATATTTTATTCAATATTATATTTTCTATTTTCTGCGGACAATCGGTCGAATAGAACAAACACATGTTTTCAGAAGACAAATCCACGTGTAATTCGTTCAAAATTCATCTATTCGTTTATATTCATTTTTCTATTTATATTTTTTTCCATTCATTTGTACCCATATCTTCATATTTGTTTATTTAATTGGGAGAAGCCCATTAAAGAGTGGGAAGAAAAAAATGTAGAGGAGGATTTCTAAAATTTCTCATCGCTGTCCATGACAGTGACTCGAACGAGGCAGCATTTTTTTAGAACGTTTGTCTTTTGAAAACCAGAGGTTGCTAACTGGCGGCACGCAGGCCTTTGCCCCTACTTTCCTGATCGCTAGCGCTATCCCTCCACTACATCGATCCCCTCCACTACGCTGCGAAATTTCCTCACCGTGCATGAGCTCCAGTCTCTTATTGTCAGTCTGTTGATTTCCTTATCAACTGGCCTCTTGCACCCTACGTGCCAATTTTTTCTCAAATGAGTTTCGATGCATCCACTAAATTATTTTAACAACAAAAACGTGTTAGTTTTGTAGTAAACATATAAGAAGGACATTAGAAAAAGACGAAATAACTTACTCTAATAAATAATAATAATATCTTACTTTAATACTTACTCTTA